TAATTAAAATGACCCGTTGCACAAGAGGTGGCTCTCGTGGCCCAAGTGGTCTAGTGGATAACGCTTTGGCGTTTGAAACTATGGGCACTGGGTTCGAGCCTCAGTGGGAACATCATCACTCACTGAGAAATGCAGGTACATCCAGCTGACGAGTCCCAAATAGGACGAAATGCCCATCCTGGATTCCACTGCTAGCCACCATCCACCAATTGTATACTGATTTTATTAATCATCTCTTCTGGTGATCTTAGACGTGACCGGTTGATTTTGTGTGCCTTTACACCCTCTAGGGTACTTGTGGTATTGGTGCTGTTTGTTTCCCTGACCTGAAGTCTGACCCTTTATTACATGAGAGATTTTCTTCTTACTATTTGGTAAATGTTGTCTATGTCGATGTGTCTATTGATTGATGATTCACTGGAATACCAGACTTCTAAAATTTCTCTAGCATTCTTGCTGTTTCCTCTGTCTAATACTTGAACGTCATCTCAATCGAATTGATGTCCGTGAGAGAGTGGATGCCATGCCTTTTGATGGCTAGCTTATGATCTCGGATACGAAGACGAAGGGGACATCCACTGTGGCCAATGTAGTGTTTTCCGCAGTTGTTACAATTTACTTCGTACATGATGTTGGTTTTATCTTCTTTCGTTGTTAAGTCTTTTGGTTGACACAGAGTTAGCTGAGTGAAGTGATTTTGTTGGTTTGTGTGAGACATCATTTCCTAAAGGTTTGAAGAGTCTTGAAGTGATTTCTGAGATATCTTTTATGTATGGTAGGACGATTTTCTCTGTGCTTTCCTTCGGGGCTTTTGATTTGATAGGTTGGCTAGGGGTGGGGGGTGTATGTCTTTTAATGAAGTTCTGTGGATATCCATTCTTCTAGAAGACGTCCATGAGATATCTTCCTTAAATTTTCCTTAAGGTAGGAGTGCTGCAATGCGTCCTGGCCCTCTTGAATAGTGTTCGTATGCAATTTCTTTTGTGTGTTATTGGATTGTTGGTCTGTGTGAGTTGACTTTCTATAAACTTGAGTTCCTAATTCCCCTGTGGTTTTTCGCTTGACTAAGATATCCAGAAATGGGATTTTGTTCTCGGATTCCTCTTCTCTTTTGAATTTGATGTCGTTGAAGACGTTGTTTATTAAGTTGATTGAGTTTTATCCAACTCGTTTCTTGTAATTATTACAAGTGTGTTATCTACGTGAAGTTTCCAATTTCGGGTTTGATCTTTGGTAGGATTATGTTTTCGAGCCTTTGCATCACTGCTTCTGCAATTGAACCTGATATTGGCCAAAGTGAAACAGATTTTAACAAAATCCTTAGACTATCTGAAGACTGAGGGCAAAAGGCATGTTATCAAGTCATTCAAAATAGCCCAGTAACATGTCTTGTACCATCAATCCTATCTTAGATGACAAGAATTTAGAAGACTGGTATAACTAATGATAGTTGATGATTAAAGGTGGCGAGATTTGTAACGGGGCCTGTGAATAACTAGCCCCGCAAGTGGAATTTTATCTCACTGTTCCATAAATAACTAAGGGTTAGTGAACTAGGCTTATTTTAGGAATGCATCTGTCAGGAATCGAATCTAGACCTCTTAAGTAGTTGGTGAGCATTTTCCCACTGAATTATCAACACACAGAGGTAGAATTTAGGATGTGTATTTAATCTTGGCAACTGATAGTTTCAGAATTGGTAAACATGAACAAGTATGGAACTGGTGAATATATTTGTGTGTGTGCAAGAATTATATGTTGTTAAACAATTTTCATATGAGATAATATGTCATATATGACACATTCGTTTGAAGCATACTATATGAACTTCGGCGTACTCATTAGCTAGGAAGCCTTATTGAAAATGATGCGTGTTGATATCAACCAATAGAGAACAATTCACATAACAGTTTACAATGAAGAACGCCTATTGTATGACAGAGCCTAGTGAAAATACCCTGACTTTCCAAACTTAAATAGGAGGACCGAGATTTGAACCCGTACCTCATCTGGTGAAGGTCAAAATCATGAACCAATGAGCCATAGATCTATGACAGAAGAGTTCAAATATCAGGTCAAGGAAGTGATCATTCAGTTATTGGTTTGTAGGGGTTTTGGTTGATTGGTTACATGATTTCATCATGAGCTGACATAGGTTAGACAACCTTTGAAGAACTAGTGCTGGAGTACTGGACTGTCATCTGCTTCGTCCTAGTTTGGGACTCTTCAGCAGTAAGCACCCACCCACTTGCGACTGGACTTATTCAGATAGGTAGTTACCTGGGGTTCTAGTGAGAATTTGTGACCAGTAGGGTGCAGCAGGTCGGGTGTGGGGACAAATATTCGCCAGCGGTGACATTGGCAGAAGTTAGAATTCATGGGCTGGCTGGCCATTGGATCGGGTCCCAGTGGCCTAATAGTCTACAAGCTCGCCTTGTAACCAGAAGGTCCTGGGTTCGAACCCCGGTTGGTACATAATGTCGAAGTGATCATTGCTGGTATATAAAGAACATAAAAAAGGAAACACCTGAAGAGAATCAATCATGGTCAAAATTATCAGCAGAGGTATGACTATATTATTCATAAAGAATCCAAAAAAAGGCCTAAATCATACCGAAGTAAATTCTAACGATGTTGTCTATAAAGGAAGTCAATGGAAGCTTTGAACACAATCATAACAAAACAATCTATCAAAGATATGGATTTCGCTCATTATTTCAAAGTAATATTTACTTCATGTATGTACAAACCAAGTTCACATTTAACAGTTTGAAAAAATTTAGGCATTGGGCATATGATATTTATTATAATAAAGGTTTTCTTGTATTTCCCGACGAATGAATGAAAAACAAAACGGTCACGTTGTTGTTTTTACTGACGTTTCGCTATTTAATGCTACTACTAACAGCTTTATCAGAGTCGGGATTTTAAACCAGAATTTAAAAAGTCCATTCAGCTTACATATTTTGATTTTTTGATCACAGCTTGATGCCACACCGTATTTTTTCAGCATGTGATATCGGTAGCCCAAATTTTCCAGGCCGACCGTAGATATCGGGTGTGCGCCGGCAATGGATTGAACCTCGGACCATATACATGGTCGGTGAGAGTCCTAACCTCTGTGTCACCAACGCACATTGGTTAAGCCAGCCAGGAAGTACTCGACAGCCAGTTGTTTCGTCCGCCTAGTTTGGGACTCTTCAACCGCACGCACCAAACAGCTTATTCATCATTCCTCAGCATGGGGTCAATTTTGCGTTGTCAAGTCGGCCAATTGGTAAAGATAACAAAAACGGGTGTAGATTTTTGGATTTTATAAGAAGAAATCAGCTGAATTCAACAAAATGAAACTAAATTCAAGCAGACTCCTTCAAGAAATGAAAAAAGAAATTGAAATGATGAAGAGCTTGAAATTCTGTCTAGGACGTAATTATTTTACATTTAAAGGGAATTTATATAGACTGACAAATGGTGTTACTATGGGTTCACCAGTTTCCCCAGTAGTCTCTGATCTTTTCATGAATTGATTCAAAGATAACAAACATCTTTTCAAGCAAACTCACTTCTAAAATATGGTTAAGATATGTAGATGATACTTTTTTAGTACTAAAACGAGATCTACACAGTGTTCATTCTTGGAGAAAATAAACAGTCTATCTCCCAGAATCCAGTTTACTTCAAAAGTAGGCAGAATCAGATGTTGGTTAACTGCCATTTCCAGACTGTTTGTTTAGTTAAGAGGAGGGAAAACGGACAGGAAGAAAACCCACTCCAATAAATGCTTAGACTTCAAATCATCACACCCCATCAGCTCAGAGGTGTCAGTTATTTCAAGTCTTTTTAGACGGGCACACTCTCTGATGTTAACGCATGAGAAGGAAAAAGAAGAAGAAATATGAAACATTACTGAGACTTTCACGCAAAACAACTACCCAAAGAACTTCATCAACAAAGTGAACACAGACATTAAGTATGGTTGAAAACTTGGACCTGAACAGTTGTCATTCCATATACAGCAGAGACATCAGACGACATCAGAAGACTACTCAATCAGATCGACATCAGAGTTTTCTTCAAAACGTCATGCAGACTACGAAACAACCTTGTCCATATAAAATCCAAATCCCGAAAGATTCTCTATTTAATTGTGTCTATAAAATAAAATGCTTACTTGGAATGAGATGCGATATACATTGGACAAACCATGTCATAGATAAATCAAAATCAGAAGAAATGAACATCGTACAGAATCTGTTCGACCACCGAGAAATAAATCCATTTGTGAACTAGAAAAGCTTGAAAGATCATCAGCTATAGGTGGTGGTCTACACACCATAGAATCAGGTCACAAAATCGATTTTGACAATGTTGAAATATTTCAGAAATCACAAAGAACTTCTGATATCATCAGAAGCACTTCATAGCAAATGGAATCCAAATTGTCTGATGAATACGAACAATGGACTAAAACAGAATTTGAACTGGTTACAACACCTCCCTCCCGCCTCTATGAATTGACAAAATCAACACGGATGTAATAAGCGATTTTATCATGTAAACATACACTGCTTTTGTAATTTTACACACTTATCAAATCCAACAATCTACGCACACCTGGTTTTGTTATCTTTACCAATTGACCAATTTGACAACGTAAAAATGACCCCATACTAAGGAACAATGATTAAATTGTTATGTATAAGCTGAGTGGATTTTGTAAGTTCTGGTTTAATAATACTACTTTGATAAAGCTATTAGCAGCTTTTTGAATAGCAAAACGTCAGTAAACACAGCAATATCGTTTGGTTTTTCATTCATTCGTTGGGAAATACAAAAGAAACCTTTATTGTAATGAATATCGTATACCCAATGCCCAAATTTCTTCAAACTGTTAAAAGTGAACTTAGTTTTGACACATATACATAAAAAAGTAATAATAACAAATCAAAATGAATAATCATAAAAGAGAATTACTGTTTGATTTTTTCTTGCCTACCTACTTTATACGTTGGATCACCGCATGCACAATGTCCAGCTGTCAATATTTTATCCTTTGATATAATTGTCCCCGTGCATCGATGCTTTCTACCCAACAGTAATACAACCATTGGAAATTCCCCTATCTTGACTGGAAAACCATTTTGTATACGATATTCTAATTGTCCTGTGGATTCAATGATTGTCGGTTGATTAATTGTTAGTAATAATAGAATACAAATAATTTGTATATTGATTAAATATTGACAAGAGAACATTATTATTATTGTTATTATTTGTAGTGGAACTAATGATATTACGCAATGTCTGATTAGTTGTCAGTCATATTAATCATCATAGTACACAATAGGCCGTGTGTATGAATGTACAAGTTGGTAAATGAAACAAGGTTCAATTCGAATTTGAATATAAGAAGATTAGAACAGTTGACAAAAAACAAAAAAGAAATGAAAGAAAGATGATTGGTTGATTGATTGGTTGGTTTAGTGCTCAAACTGATTTGATTCGATCGCTAGACTGATCGATTATCAATCAAACAAGTGATCTCTGTTATCTCTGTTATTGTATAGCACATATATCCAATGAACTATTGAGTTGAGTTATCATGTCATTGACAATTATGCAATTTCGACAGGACAATATATACACACATTTTCACAGTTTCGTTCCTATCAAGTACAAAAGAAATTTAGTGAAAACCTTCAGCCACAGAGTTAGTTGGAGCTATATATACTCAGAAGAAGTAAATCAAGATGAATTAATGAGCATTGTATATGATACTTTGATCGAAAATAGCTATCCCGAAAACAAAATTTATCAAGAAACACATGACAAAGAAAGCGGCGGAAAATGACAGCTCACTATCTGTGAACATCAAGAAGCCACTTTTTATATACGACTACAATTCAAGGGCGATATACCAAGCGAGATGATTGCGAAGAAATTAAGAAAATCAGTTCAAAGAACTTTTAATGCTGGTGAACTACATGTATTATTCTCTACACAACCGATGGTGCTACCTCGAATGAAAGATGAATTACCTAGACTAGCTAGCCACTTGTATCTACCAATTCAACTGCGCTTGTGGAGCGAGTTATATAAGCCGTTGTTGCTCTAGAAACTTGATTTTTCGTTCTCACACAAGAACATCTCCCACTATGGCTAAGTAAAGGTGTAGTAAGAACTATTAACAGGTCGATATTGGACCATCTGGTGCAAACCGGCCACAAAGGCAACGTGGAAGAATCCTTCTCTATAATCTACCGGTCGCCTAATAAATTACCAAAATCATCGAAGTATCATATGCTCCAAACAGCCGATGCTATTGCAATTCGCCTCAAACAAACAGTGCTCTGTGTTCAAAAGAAGCAATTCCAGCCCCTATTACTACACTGACCTTCAGTAGAGACTATAAATTCATGAATTTGTAATATTATCTTTCCTAATTTTTCTGACATTCAGCTTATTTTATGTTGATGCTATTGAGCTGTAATCTATCAACATTACTGATTCGATGTTATTTAAACAGCGTTAATGTCGTTCATAACACTAATTCATTCATTTACTATAATTTATATATAACTGTAGAGCCTAATGATGAAGTTAGCGAAAAGAGTACTCTTTGTTCAGTATCCATTCTTTTGAAAAAATTCTAATGGGCATTTTTGATCAATTATGCAATGGTTGGAGGATTTTATCATGAGCTGATATCAGCTAAAGAACCATTGGAAAACTTGCCAGGAAGCACTGGACAGCCAGCTGTTTCGTCCGCCCAATTTGGGACTCTTCAGCGGTACGCACACATCCGCCGCTATGGTTTGGAACCACGCACTTCTGGTGACAAGGTTAGCGAGCTACCTCGAAGACCATTAAGCAGCCACTGGGATCCGCCCTATCCAATGGTGAAACTATGAATTCCAAATTCTGCCAGCCAATTCACGACATAGCGCCACAACTAGGCAATGTTTGCAATGAATGAGAATTAGAACAGGATAATTTTAAGTACTGTCTAGTCATAATATTACAGTTGTAATGGTTACTTTTTTTATCATTCGAACATTGGTCATGAAGTGATACATCAGTTGGAGAACTAATGGAAATGAGTCGTTTCCTATTCAGAATTTTTCAGAGGTATACGGCTGAGTGATTTGTGCATACTGCTGAAGGGCCCCAACCTTGAACGAAACAGTTTTCAATGGTCCTCTAAGTTATATTTCACTTAGTGATGACATTTGAAATCGGTCAAGTCTCTGTAAACCAACATCTCAAAGTATTTTTTATAATTGCAAGGTAGAAAATAGAGAGTGTAGTCATTTAACAAAAACAGATTAATACAATCAATGAAGTGGGTGATTGAGCAAGCTTTTATACTGAATACAGAGCTCTGGCTTTGTGTTAGTTTGATGAATAAAGCTTCAGTAATACAAGTTGGTCACGGATTGATATCAGTTAGAGAACCATTGAAAACCAACTGGGGAGTACTGGACAGCTGTTTCATCCTATTTTGGGAATCATCACCAGTACGCACCCACTGCCAGGGTTCGAACCCAGTACTCCCTGGTTTTCAGTGGTTCTCTAACTGATATCAATCCGTGATCAACCTGTAAAAACAAAACTAATCCTTACAAACCAAAACTATAGAAAATTAATCTGATGCTCGCTAGTGACTTGCCACAGGATGGAGTTTCCTGGAGTCAGTTCTAGTGAGGAGTCGTGACCAGTGAGGTCCAATTAGATGTCTCGTGTGTGGATGGATGTCCCACCAACGACAATGTTTGGGGTCGCGCTAAAATCACGAATTGGTAGAAGTTAGTATTCATGGGCTAGCCATTGAATCGGATCCCAGTGGCCGAATGGTATACGAGCCAGCTTCCCTTGTAACCGGAAGGTCCTGGGTTAGGACACCAGTGGGTGCGTTCTGTCGATGATTCCCAAAATAGGATGAAACAGCAGCTGTCCAGTACTCCCCGGTTTGTTTTCAATGGTTCTTTAACTGATATCAATCCGTGATCAACTCGTAAAAACATAACTAATCCTTACAATTTAAAATTTAAATTTCTGATTACTATAGATAATACAGATGAGTTGAATATGTGATAACTTTGTAGGGTCTAGTTTTCCGCTCTATAGATAACTTTATGAAGGAGAACGGTTGTGTAAACAAGATGATAGTTGTCAATTAGACGGCCGGTTATTTCGCTTCGCGTAGCAGTTTTTTCCACCTATATGCAGCCACAAGAGTTAGTGCTCTTGCACGTTTTCCATATAAACAATCCTTGCCGGATGGTCGATATACTTAGCCTCATCTTCTAGGTTATTGGAAAGTATTGATCAGCGAAAAAACTCTATGCTCAACTATTCTGCGGTGAATGTACTTTCCACGGAATGTAAGATCCTTATTTTAGGTATGTCGGCAGCTAGATAACTTTTGAATTTATGATCCATATGCAACATTTTCTTGGGCAAAAACTATAAATCAAATTTAATAAGTTTTGTCTGCATATTTTTGTCTCTGAAATGTGACCGGTGTCCATTTTCATTTAAAATTAATCTTAGAAGACTTAACTCTTCCTCTTCCATAGCATACGGGGTCCATGTGCTCAAAAAAAGAGTGACAAGTGAATGATCACAATAAGTGATCAACTGTAGAAATTTAGCTACTTATCATTTCATGACAACTTTCTATAAATCGATCTCCTCAATATTTTATCACTCTTCCTTCATAGCTTCACATCAACAGGAAGAATATTAAATTCTCTTTTCACTTCCTGTGTGAATTCTATCTCTGGATGGCAACTATTCAATGCTTTTAATATATATATATATATATAATTTCAAATAATAATAATAATCGCAAATAATAAAGATGTTTTCATCTCTACATGCCTTTTATCCATTTGGAAACCTTGAATTATTGACTTCAGTAGACCATTTTCTAAACTAGTCATAAAACAGTCTTCAAGGAGACGATTCAAAGGAGATCTGATGGCGATAAAATCCTTTTTGTTTGTAGATTTTTAACGACAAAAGACAAGAGCCAGGCAACAGATCGTCTTTTGAGAAAATCAACAGATATTTATAGATTTTTATGTACATTATTATTAGCGTTATTATTAGCAGAGAAACAGCGTCTTCTGATTGGTTGTTCTGTCGCTGAAAGTTATTCTCTCATCTCTCTTTGTGGCCATTTTTTGAAGGTCAGACCATATATATATATATATATATATATATATATATATATATATATATATATCTGCGAGTCGTATTCGCCCACGCAAAGTCTGCAGTGATTGGTTGTTGAATTAGTCTTTGACCTTGTTTTTTTTCTCATGACCAAGACTTTGGGCCGTAAACATTGACGTAAATTGACGTGTCTATCAATTTTGGCTAGCAGACAGCTCTCACCACAGATTCTCTTATTAAACATATATTGTGCACACATTTTGTTTCTCAACCACAGTTCGTACAAACGAGTAATTGCCACCCCAACACGTCACTGATATGGAGTGATTTCACTGTTACGCAACAACATTTACTTTAGAATTATACTCCAGTCATAAGTACCAAATTTCTGCTATTCATTATACTGACAAGCATGCTTCATGTTTACAAAGCGCTAAGATGTTAATTTATCTATTTCTATGATTGCTTAACATGTCAACTGGCATTACCTATCTGATGGTTAGCAGTTCAATCTAGAATGTGTCTGTGTTTCGTCCCATTTAAGACCTGCCGTCTAGATGTACCTGTATTTCCGGTAAATTTGAACACAGAACTGACTGACTAGTTTCAACGGAGAACTTGGAACAGATGTGCAACTGTTTAACTTGCCACTCTCCCTTCATGTATCACACAAAGCAAGAGAAGAGAGTATAGAGAGATTCATCAAAACACAGAGAGATAATCGACAGAAATATGAAGCAAAAAGAATAGTAGTAATATGGAAGAACAATGAAGTTTTATTGGATATTATAAATCACAAGGAGTGAATGCATCTGCGCCAGCCATTGACAACGAGGACCTCAGCCAGTCAGGAAGTCTACACCTACCTACGTGGCTGCCTCGCTGGCTTAAACTAACTGTTGTGGATTTCAGTGACTGTTGAAGCCATATTTTGGTTTGACCACCATGACTAGCTTTCTCTTTTCCAACCTGATCCATCCTATGTCAGTCAGGTAACATTGCCCATTGTCGAGGAAGGTGATGGCTAGGCATGACTGGCTGACTTTAACTGTATATCCAGAGGCGATCAGATGTT